ACAGATCCAATGCAACTGCGATCGAATAACAAATATTTTGGACAAAAATTATGAAAATATAATATAAATTATATAAAAATTATGACTTGAAATTAAAATGTGACCCACTGTACCGCTATCATCGTTTTTAACCTATAACAGCGGTACATTTTAATAGCCACTGCCGCCGTCGCGGTCGTCGTCGCTTTTGATGTCTGCTGCAAATCCCCAATAAATGTCGAAAGCCCCCGGAAACTTGCAATGGAAAAGATAAATTGACATTTTTTTCCTTATGTTATCATGTCACCTGACCACTGGCGCGGTTGACGTGTTTGAAAAGCCAAAATAAATGTCAAACTTTTTGCAGCTTTTTGAATCAGTGACCACGGTGCCGTGGTTGGCAAGCAAAATTCCCAGCGTGCAAGCGCAGCAACTATTCGGCTCAATCCAAAGTGATAAGCGAAGTAGTGTGGGAAATACTTTAAATGTATATATATATATATATATATATATATTTATATGAATATGTATATGTAAACTCGTATATATAATATACAGATATGATGGCATTTGCCCGCAAATGAATATGCGAAATAAAAATATGCATATACAATACATGGCCATACAAACTTGTAAATATTTATGTATCTACCTGATCTGTGCACATGCAAATATCCATTTAGTTTCATATTTACCGTTAGCTTTGAACGAGATAAACATCCTTAAGTGTAATCACATTTATGTACAAGTATATCTCTTTAAAATTATAGCCCAGATTTGGGGTGGATAAGAGCTTTACGAGCAACTGTTTAACACGCTTTGTTAAGTAGCTTATGAGCTAAAAACGCGCTACAAGCCAATTAAGCTCTTTGGAACGATTTAACAGTAAAGCCACACGCTTTCGCCCGCTTATATAATCCATTAAATGTTTTTTGGTTTGTTTTGGCTTAAGGCGAATTTACAAAAAATTTTGAAAAAATTTAAAAAATGTTTTATAAATATTATTTAAATTTTACGAGTTTCTTTTGCACGTATTTATATAGGTATTTATTGAAAAAAGTAAAAGTAAAAATCTATTTAGTCTAGTTTAGGTTAGATTAAGTCGTAAGATTGATGTAAAAGCTAACTCAATTGTACATATGTTTGTTCTTTGAATTACCCAAAAATTCCAGCCACTTCGCTAGGTTCTCCAAAAGAGTGTCTACCGAAATATTTCAAACTCAGTCTGGCAAAAGCCGGGCAATAGAAAAGAAAGTGACAAGATGATTTCCACCTCGCTTTTCTCCTTACAGCTACAGCAAAGAGTGTCCGATAAAGTATTTAGTCGCACCGTATTCAGTCAGAACCCCTACAATTGCGGCGAGAGTGACTTTGCTAAATGTAAGTAGTTTTGAGGACCTTTTACGATTCACTTTGGACCAGTAGGATCTAGCAGTCGCACAAGTTCTATGATGGATGGGATCGAGTTGGATCTCCATTAACGTCTTGCGTTCTAGCTCTGGACCAATTGACCTCGCGTGCACTCAGCAGGCGCTGTGCAACGACCAACTCCTGTGCGAACGCGAGATGCTTTTGGCCGATAGTGGAGCGCAGGAGGTCTGAGGAACTTCTCGCCTTGAGCAAACATCCAGGCACTTTCTCCTTTCCTGTCCGACTTTTACAAGGCTGCGACTGAAACATCTCCATATTCATACATTCGGCGGACCAGAAGACTTGCGGAAACGGATATTAGTCGTCTCAACAAATTTTTTATAGGCTCAAAGCGCTTTGTCGACATGTAAGAATCTTTTGATCCAACTTTAAAGGGGTTTTTAGGTACCACAACGGACCGGCGTTTAAGCTGTCCAAGTGAGATCCTTCTTAGGAGTATTTTCTATAAGCATTCGTATAAAAATGTAATCATGTATATACTCGTATTTTATATTTAAATATTAACTCTCTTGCCGAATCAAATAATCATTAAATTTGTTACAGTTATCTAATAGCTTTATGCTTCTTCTGGTGCCTGCTTATACAACTGTCTATTGGCTAATTGGCAACGAACCAACATAATGTCGCCTTGACATTTAACACTCGCTAAGCATGTCCCTTTCATATGTATAAGTATGTATGTATGTGCAATTATTAGCTGCCCACAGTGACACTGTCAACTATGCATTTATTGACAGAAAATTGGCTAAACAAAATTGTTCCGGTTCACACGAGTATATTCAGTTTATTTAGCGCCAAGTGGCAGCAACAACAAAACAACAACTTACAGAATATGTGGCCATTAAAAAATTGGCTCACTTTCAGCTAGTTAAAAAGATATAAAACATAGAAAAATGAAAAAATAAGGAATATATAAAAGATTATAGCAGCATGTCAGCTTAGAACGGATGTACGGTATGTTTGTTTGATGGCAGGATATTTGGTCATCATGGAGAAAAAGTTTATAATCGGTAGCGAAATTCGCTTAACGGTCTATTAAAAGTACTATAAAGCTGTTCGAATTTTTCTGATTCAAGTTCATACTTGAGAGCTAGAGATTTGGAGATTTAAATCAGAAACAGTTTCAGGAGTGGAATGCATTTCATTAGAATCCACATCCGAACTGTGTGTAGGATTTTTAGTATGTAACATGAGGAAGCTTTTGGTTTAGTGGAAAGGTTTTGGAAATCTTGCTGATTCTTTTCTTAATAAACTCATAAAAAATCGAAAACCAGCTAACGAGCTTTGCAAGAGCTATTTGATACTTCCAATTTCTCCATATTGAGCAAGATCTTCGTCAAAGTGAAATGCATAACGAGCTGAAGAAACCTAGCGACTTGATTGTTCGTGTAATATATTATCACAAGCTATCCTTTCCTGGTTTAATTGGACAGAATTTTCGGCCGGAAGAAACAAACAGAGATCCGAAAATATGATCCTCAGAATATTGGATTCCTCTTCGAGATCGACGCTGCTTATTAACAGTTTTCTCTAAAAGTTTTAATGTTAATGCTATTAATTACAAAAGCGAACCAATTTACAAGCTCTCTAAAACTAGCCGCCAGGAAACGAGCATATGGAGAAATATGCCTGATACCCTGTTATGTAAGATTAATGGAACATTTGTAAAATCTGAGTTTAACTGATAACCGGTAAAAAAGTTACGGTTCTCCTTTATTGCTCGATGCAAGATTACAATCATTGATGAACGCTTTAGATAAAATAATCGCGATACTTTCATTTCTCACGTTAATGTTAATAGTTTCAAATTGTTTTTTTTGATCAATTGGCCACAACTCAATATCATATCTAGCCTTTGTGTGGGTGCATCAGGTCATTGGACTAAACTTGCTATGTTGGAAAAAAGGGTGGGAATTTGGACGCTCGCAGTTTTTGCCGTAAAACTTGCTTACTAGTCAAGTTAAATTATGGGCCATTAATAGTTAAATACTTATAAAAATACATCCTTTATATTAGGTGTTAACAGTTTTGAATGGCTTATGAAATTGCTTTAAAAAGCTGTACTCATGGTCGAAGTTATGTAGCAAAAATTCGTTTATTGATATTGAGAAATAAAGTGGGGAGACTTCTTTTTAACGGTTTATATAGCTGACAATTGGAAATTTCAATTGGAATTTGAAATAATAATTGCCTTCTGCTAAAAGAGTGGTCGGAGGCAGGCACGAAAGCGTAACTCACGTTTTTGGTATGTCTTCTAATTGGTCGTTCACAATTTGATTTAAGTGGTGTTAGATTAGATTGAGATTCGATTAGAATTAGATTGAGTTCCGTCCTTGATCGCCTTCGTGATTGCTTGTTGTGGTTTTGCGGCAGAAAAAACAGTTTTGGACTGCTGCTAAATTAACGCCTTGGACGGATTAAAATCTGGGTCGCTTTCGTTAATAAAAACCAGACTGTAATGAAAGCGGTTCCGTGATTGCTTTATAGACGATAATGAGACGGTTTGGTCATCCTATCCTACTTTCTATTCGTTAGTTGTTTCTTTTTATAGTCAACATGATGCTACAGAGTATAGTAGCATTGTTCACCTAACGGTAGCTTGTATCACCTGAAACCAATTGAGATAGATATGGAGTTATACACACATACATAAATGATTAGGATGACGAGACCAATTGAATTCCGCATCACTGTCAGTCTGTCCGTACGTCTATCTATCCATGCCTACATCGAAACAGTGACCAAAATTGTTCTTGAAATATGTCGAACCACTATTAGGAAAGTTTCATAGGATGTTAGTATATCAATCGGCTCATGCCATTCAATTTTCTCGAATGCTTTGGGCATGAAATGTGTGACAGCGAGTTGGTTCCGAAATTGCTAAATGCACCAGCTTGCACATCAATGCTTATTCGGGAACTATTTCCTAATTTCAAACTGAAGAAACTAATAAAAGGAAAGCGTTTAGCCTCAATTGATGAGATCAAGTCAGAATCGAAGAAAGAGCTGATGGCCATACCAAAAAGCACATTTCAGAAAGGCTTCGAGAATTGGAAAAAGCAGTGGCGCAAGTGTGTTATATACGAGTGGGAATATTTTGAAGGTGACAAAGTATTGATGAATAAATAAGTACTTTTCAACAAAATTCAAAATTAACTATTTTCTTTGAACACACCTCGTATTATAAAAATTTGCAGAGAATATTTTTCTGATAATAGTATGCCTTTATGTCAAAAATACTTTTTTTTTAATGCCTTCATAAGGTATGACAATATCCAATTGTATTGCCCTAACTTCATCTAACCTAGCATACTCATAAATACAAATTAAGGCGTCCATGAAGCTAAATGAATTTACAGTTACTCTCATAAATTTATATTCAATTCGAGGCAACATGCAGCTTTTCGCACTCCCAACTTTTATTACTATACGAATACACACATATATGAATAAGCTTTATTTAAAAGAAATCACCAAGCTGCCAGACAACAATGTACTTTCACACCAATCTAACCGCACATATCTTTTGTTTTTTTATGCTTTTCTATTTTCAACGCCGCCATCTCTATATCTACCGCACCGCATCGCAGACACAACGATTTGGCATGGAATATACGGAAATTTTTGAAAAATCGTCTGCAAGATTTCCCATTTGCCGGAGATTTGCGTGAGGTGTTGCCATGGTCGGCGAGCGCTTGGAGTCACACCGATTTACCGCGCTTGAAAGAGGGCATGGTGTCGGCACAGGTATGTACATATGCAATTCACACACACACCTACATATATACAGAGACCAGAGACTCACATGCATGCTTTCAGACATTCCACACTTTTTCGCATATTCCGATGCATAGTTTGAGGCGCTCAACAGGTCGCTTTGCAAAAATCGTGGTATTTCATAAGTTCACCATACCTTTGTATAGCAAGTAAGGATCCAGCGCTGCACATATTTAGTTTGTCGACTGACAAACAGCCGTTATTTTTATTTTGCTTTGTCTCAAATATTTTTATGCATTTTTGCCTTTGGTTTCATTCGCCTGGTTATTGGTTTTTAAGCTCATATGCACACACACACACACACACACAGAAATGTAAAATTATTTGTTGTCTCTAGATTGTAAATTTCTCTAAATTCTTCTTTTCTATCTTTTTTTATCTAATGCTCAAACAACAACTACAACGACGACGCCAACAACAGTTTTGGTCGGCATATGTACCGTGCTCTTCCCAGCATATGGACGCCGTACAGTTGACACTGGAACAAATAGACTTAATCCGACGTCTGGTGAATTTGTATTCAAATCAAATGACTTTCGTCACAGATGCTTCAGGTAAGCTGCAAGTCAAATGCTTATCTATATAATACCGTTATGCATTTATAAGTTTTTATGTGTGCGACTGTCAGTGGTTGAGCTTCGCATCATCGGCATTGGCATACGATCTGTGCAGCAATTGTGAAATAAGTGTAATTCTTTTCTTTCGAATTATTTAAATTGTGCGAAATAAATTGCATGAATAAAATATTTGTTAAAAAGAAATGCAAAATCAAATATGATTTTCATATTTTCGAATGACTTTCAGTAAGGATATTATCACTTTCTAATACTTGTAATTTTATGCAAGAAACATATATGTATGTTATACATATGTATGTATGTGTATAATTTTTTAAAATGCCACTTAAGCCCGACTAAATGGACGCGCATACTTTCATAATATTATTTTTGAGTCTTTAAGTAGGTTTATTAATAGATTTTTTTTATGTAATCTGGTAGATGGCGCTGCAGTCAAAACTGCTTTTTGATTTTATGTAAAGATTAAATTTGACAAATAAGTTAAATAGGATTTTTGTTTTAACATGAAATTAAGATATGTATCGATTCGCACCACGTTTACTATAGTGCATAATGCGCATCTTCAGAGACGCCGCACAGTGTGCACCGGAGACACTACTGCTACTTTGGAGCAGATTATCGAAAAAGACCCGAATGAGTCCATCCGCCATGGCGTTCAACTATTGGAGCCATGCCTATGCTTTTTATGGAATATTTTGCCAAAGTATTTTGCTTTGCGGTCTTACAAAATCAAACTCGTGCAAGAGTTGAAGCCGAATGACTATCAAGCGCGTTTCACGTTTGGTGAATGGGTCTAAAACGAAATTCCCATCGATACCACTTTTTGCGAGAAATTTTGTTCATCAATGAAAATCACTGTTGGTTCAATGGTTATGTTAAAAAATAAAATTGTCGCCATTAGAGTGCTGATAATTCTCAAGCTATTGTTAAAACGCCGTTACATCCTCAAAAAGTCACTGTTTAGTGTGCTCAGGGGGAATAATTGGTCCATATTGCTTTAAAAATGAAGCCAGCCATAATGTTACTGTCAATGGAGAACGCTATAGCGCAATGACTCATGACTTTTTCGTGCCTGAATTGGAGGATGTTGATCTGAACGACCATAGTCCAACTAGACGGTGCTTCATGCCAACGAAACAATCAATTTATCGGAGGAAGCTTTTGTTGTGCGCATTATCTCGTTCAGTGGCGTAGTTTTGTGCTACATCTAGGATAATCTACCATGGAATTTTACCCTCCTAATTCATTAGATAATCATTCGAGCCAATATTAATTTCAAACCGCATAATTCATCCATCTTGGCCAAAAAATTACTTTTGTGAAATACTTTTTCTTTAATGTTAGTTTATTTGAGGAGAACCGATAGATGGGGTTAAGGTTAAAATTAGCTTCAAAACAGTACCTTTGTCACTGAATGGTACAGTATATTTTTTCTCACTCAACAGCGATAACATCGCACAAAAGTTAACGCAGAATTCAACTTGGACGGCTGTGAGCTCTGGTACTTTGTGATTTTCTCCTAATGTTGGATCACCAGACTCTTATAGATCGATGAAGCGCTATGAAACAACCACAAATATGTTAAGGTGGTTAATTTGCCAGATTCGCAAAAATTGTCTACCGATATGTTTTAACCTCAGTCTGACAAAAGCTGGGCAGTTGAGCAGAAAGTGTTAAGATAATTTCATCTCGCCTTCCTCCATACAGTTTAAAGAATTTGCGTTCGACAGGTGCGCCTAATCGACATTGTCCAGACAGAACGTCTACCATTACGGTGAGGTAACCTTGCTAAGAGCATGTAGTTCAGAGGACCTCTAACGTTTCACTTTGGACTAGAAAGATCTCGCAGCCGCGCAAGTTTTGGTTGTTGACGCTCACGGATGTGCATAGATCCAACGCTAGAGTGTAAGAGGATAGTGGTGTAATGACTCTTTGCCAATCTGATGAAATTGGGGTAAGCGCATCTTCTTTAACAAGCACATCGGCTTTGCAGTTTCCAGCAAACTCGAAAGCTCTGCTCTTGAAGTGAGTGCACACTTCTTTGAAAGCAGCTTCATTTCGGAATAGTACATCTATTGCTACTTTGATTACAGCCACCACCGCTTGTAACTCACTGCAGTGGTCTGGTAGCCCGAAGCTAGAGTTTATGGAAGGCTCCCGACAAAAGACTCCCCCTCCCGCCTTTTCCCTAAGCCACGATACAACCGTGAAAAGACTCACAGTACCTCCTCTCTCGCAGCTTTTCACCGCTCACATATCCCACCACGGTATGTGCGCAGAGAAGGAGTCGCCCAATTAATAGTGACAAGGTAAAAGTATGCTCAGCGCTTCGCAATGTCCTTGTGCAACATCTGACCATCACTCGTATTTCTTCAAAAAGTGTTACTTAATTTCTTCAAATTTTCAAACTCCTCATATAACAATAGTTTTCCCGTAACTTGCTTAGCGACTATACGTAGCATGTTCTATTCTGTTAAACATGTCTTCTAACAGCTGGTAGTTATCATTACTCTATTTTGGTGAGAGGTAATGAAGCACAGCATTGATCGTCAACCGTATTAAGAAGTAACACGAATGAAGTTACGAAGTGGATCCTTAAGAAAAATATACCACCAAAACTGCTTCTCATCATGTAAGTTGGTGGATGTGTTTTTTGGGATGGGAAAACAGCATACCAGTTAAAATATTTTTCTTGCTGGAAAATAAAATACAAATAATAATAATAACCGTTTATATTGTCCGTGTACTCTTCTGGCAAAGGTCGTGTCAAACTCTCGTGTGGCTGACATGTATGTAAATGCTTCTTAAGTAAATTGTGAACTTTATAAAAGTTTTTGCAGCGACCTAGTTTATAAGTGTAAGTACATAAATGTACGTATATGAGTTCAAGAAGTCCCATTAAAGTATATTTTTGTGGCTATTATTTGTTTATATGTAACCATTAACTGTCCAATTTCTCAAAATTCTTTTTTCACTTTTAAGTATTACAGTAATTTCTTTCATATTTTTTTGTTATTGTATTTTCAGGAATTGAAGAAGTGCACAAAAGTGGAAAAATTGCCAGCCTGATTGGGGTGGAGGGTGGTCACTCGATTGGCACCAGCCTCAGCGTTTTACGTATGTTCTATCAGCTTGGTGCGCGCTATTTGACACTGACGCACACCTGCAATACGCCATGGTAAGCATGAGTGTGTGTGTGTGTGTGTGGGTTTGTGAGTGGCTATGCGCTCGTCTGTATTTATATATACATATGATAATAAGGATATGTCGGGTATTTTGTGGGAATTTCAGAAATGTATGCAGACATAAAAAATAGTTGCGTACATGTAAGTAGTTGTGTGTATATGTGTGTATTTGTGCTGTCAGTTGGAAGTACACATACATACATTTATTAATATGCAAACTTGTTTAACAACGTGTAAAGCATTTTTTATACGTTTGGTTGCCTACAACCTACAAAACGCCATTTTTTTCCTTTTAATTTTATTAATGTATGTGTATGGGTATTTGCTTTTTGAAAAGGGTCGCAAAATGTGGCATGCTTTAAATGTAAAAGAAAATTTACGTGTATAATATTTGAAGCTGCAATTCAATGCATAAAAAGTCAAATTTTTAAGCACATAGAAGAGTGAAAGCTTCATCAAAAGTAGAACTGTAAATAATATAATATTATTAAAAAAAAGGAGAACAAATAAATAAATGCTTAAATGAAAGGCTTTCTTCAGTTGCACAGCAGCAGTATATACGAGCATATACTATATGTATATATTGGGTCTATAACTTTAAAAACAGCCTCATACATTCAAAAGCAAGAAAATTGGGGCAAGAGCCGTGGAATGATGATTTTGCATGTCCGAAATGCTGCTTGAACGCTACAAATGGAAGTAGTTTTTGCATCGCATATCAGAAATCTGTGAGCAAGTTCATAATATTTTAAGTGAAGATCCAAGTTTGACTTAACGTGAAATTGCTAGTGCCATAGGTATCTTAGACGAACGAGTACTTCATATTTTACATGGAAAATTACATATATAAAAGCTATTTGGAAAGTTAGTGCCACACACGTTACCAATCGAAACATTTCTCAGCATAATTTGGAGCGTTTTAAGCAGAATAAAACCGATTTCTTGCGTCGTTTTATAACTATGGCTGAGACTTGGATCTACCACCACGAACCTAAATTAAAACAAGAACGTTTACAGTGGACTGCAACAGGTTGGTCAGCTCAAAGTAGTTGAATTCACAATGATCATCAAAGAAGGTTATAGCATCAGTTTTTTGAGATCCCAAAGGAATTTTGTTGACTGATTATCTGCAGAAAGGTAAAACAATCAACTCTGAATATTATTGCAGTCTTTTGGATCAGCTGGATGAAAAATTCGTGAGAAAAGACCTGGTTTGCGGCATAAAAAAATAAGTTTTCATCAAGGCAGCTGCTCACAAAAGTGTTTCATCAATGACAATATTCAACGAATTAAAGAACGAGTTGCTTGAGCATCCGCCGTATTCATCAAACTTGGCTCCCAGCGACTACTACCTTTTCAGAAACCTGAAACGATTTCTTCGTGGAAAGCATTTTTCGTCGAATGAAGAAGCTATTACCGCTGTAGACGGTGATTTTGCAGTGTTTCCGGAAAGTGATTATAGGGATGGCATAAAATTATTGGAGGATCATTGGAATAAGTGAAGGGTGATTATATTGAATAAAAGAATAGATTTCGTACCAAAACCAGTATTTCTTCATTTCGAGTGCATAAACTTTTCAACCAACCTGTATATCCAATATATAAGCTCATTAAGCAAATTTAAGTTTCTATTTTTGTTTGTGATGCGAGGTAATTGATTTTTGTATCATTGCATCATTTTCTCTTTTTGATAGACAGCAAAGGAGTTTATTTGATACAAAAATACGGCTTAAGGCAAGCAAATTTATTTTAAGCAGTTTACGTAATGTATATACATATATACATATATCTATAATAAATATATAAAATAAATATTAAGTCAACAGCGCACATTGTCACACAAAAATGAAGCCGTTAAGCCTATTACGTTGGCCACTAGTAATGCATAATTCGTACTAAGCTTTTTCATTGCATAACGAATGGCTCAGCAATGGACTGATTAACTGAAATAAAATATATTGTTTATATGCAGCTGCTAGGAAAACAAAAACAACTTTTACTTCGGCTTCACCGTAACTATAATACCTTCACAACTACAACATATTCTATGCCAGAACTCGATTTTGACTTTGTATGGTAGCTTATGCTATAGTGGTCCGATCTTAACAATATTTTCGGAGATTATAATGTTGCTTTAGACAATAATCCACAAAATTCTTGAAGATATCTCGTAAAAGCAAAATGTTTTCCATATAAGGACTTGATTCCGATCTTTCAGTTTGTGTAATAGCTTTATGCTGTAATGGTAAGATATCGGCAGCTCCGACAAACAGTAGCTTATTGGGCGAAAAATAATGTGTGCAAAGTTTCAGATCGATATCTCAAAAACTGAGGCTCAAACGACTCAACTCGTCACGCTGATCGTTTATGTATGAAATTTATGGCGTCTCAGAAGTTTCCTTTTGAGTGTTAACAACGTCTTGCTAAACTTAATATACTCTGTTCAGGGTATAAATATGAGTATTTTTATTGTGTTGTCCATAAAAGCTTGTGATATTTATGAAACTGTAAGTAGTAAGGTTCTCCAAAAATATCAACAATTACTTCTCAGTTGAAAGTATAAAGCCGATAAGTGAAATGAACTGGCCTAGTGAATAATAAGATATAAAGCCGATGCACTTAGACTACTGCCTTTATACAAAATAGTCTCGACTTCAAAGTTTGTCTTCAGGCATGTATTTGCAGCCATTCCATATCTCATTCAAATACCTTTTGTCGGCTAACAGTGCTTGATTTTATTAAAAAAGAGTATCTCAAGTTAATAGCAATATTTCCTACACTTTTTGATTTATTTTCGACAAGCAATGCCTGCTTCAGATACACTTGCCAACGGAAGATATGTAAAAGTTTTTATACCTTAAGCTTTTTTTGCTCTTTCTCTGCTACCAAAATATGCAATCCAATTCGTACCATAAGACCATGCAATGGAAGTGATAAAAAAATACTCTCTGAAAGATAACACATTAAATGGTATGTCATTGGTTAGAAAGTAGCGACTATAGTTCTGCAATGAAACAGCTTCTCATAAAACAGTTAGTCTCTCAGAGAATAGACTTCAGAGACCCTAGACTTACAGAATCATCCGTATTTTGGACAACATTTAAAAATACGGCACGGAAGAAGCTTTTTCAAGCACAAAGTTGTAAGAGTTAATTATCATCTTATCTTTTCGTCTATTCCGAAGCTATTCCATCAACTTAAGCTAGAAATATTAGTAGCTGGGGCCAACATGCCCCATTTATCTTATTTATTTCCATTTCCAGTTGTCTGATTTGACAGAGAGGCCAGCGTGCGTTAAAAAAAATATCTATTCAAATTAATTTTGCTAGGGCCGAGGCTCAAGCTACTTACCTATCGCTTATACATATGTTTACTTCCGGCTAAAAAAGTGGGTCGAATTAACGATGTTCATATCACTGGTGCCGCATAACCTTGCATACAACATTTCCTATATAATATGTATACCTATACCATAATTATAATGCCTAACTTGCGAACCCATTAATCCACAGATGGAAGAATTTGAGTTACTTCAACTCTTTTAATACTTTTTAAAGTACAACTTTAATTCTTTTCGGCTTGCCAAATGAAAACATTTAAATCTCTATATGTAAGTATACTGTGTGTACGATAAATATTATCCATAATAATACCATATATGCGTGTGCTATGAACCTATGCAATGACACATGCGTCCATGTAGATACTTAACATTTTTTGATGAGTTCATCTGCTACGAAAATATGCTCGCAAACGCTCACCCAAAGGTCTCATGAAAAGCAACCCAGTGAGGAAAAGTTTAAAACGACTCACTTTTTAGTAGAGTTCTTGCGATATAAAAGCTGTTGACCATTCTCTTAGATGGTCAAAGTGGATCTTTTTCTGATAGCGATCTGTAAATTGATCCTTAATTTAAATCTCTTAGCTTAGAGAGAGAGCTAAATAAAACGAAAATGATTTTTTACAAAAATTGTAGGCGAAGACTATGTTCATTAAAGCTTTCGTGTGCTAGATACTGAAGTGATAATTTCGTAATGAATACGGTGAATATCGAAGACGCAGAAAAGTTATCGAAGTGGTAAACGATAAAAAAGTAAAAACAAAGATGCAGTCTTCAATATTTGTAACGCTCGGTGTCTTAAATAAGGAAAGCATTGCGAGAAATTCTTGAATAATGAAGGAATGAAGCGGACTGATAGTTACCTGAAAAGACCATTCTTGCTCTTATACAATATAATCATGACGCTATGATTCTGTTCGTCTTATGGGATATTAGAGCCTTTGGTGCTTATTGGTGAAATACTCTAAAGATTTTGGAATTTCGAAAGATAGCAATTATTAGCCTCAGATGACAGTGAACCTAAATCTTACCTAAGCTGGTTCATGAAGATTTCACCTTAAAGTAATTTGTTGCGAATAATGACAAACAGTGCCTTGCAAGTGATCTTAATTAAACTAGTTCAAGAGTGGTCTCGAATGCATAAAATTACTCTTTTTTAAAAAAAGGTATTAACTTTTACCGCTAGGGGTAACATAACTCCTTTACAAATAAATTGTGCGTGTATGTATATATGCTTGCGCTCGCTCACTCAAATTATGATGATGAGAAATCCACTTCCAGAAGTGAAGAAGTGTTCATCTTGCAGCACATTTTTAATGTAGATTAATGTGTTTCATATTTGACGTTTTTGCTGTTGCTTATTTAGATGTATTTTATCATACATATACACCTACATATATGAATATTTGTGTATGTGTTTTATTGCTTTACCTTTGTAGGGCGGACTGCTGTAAAGTTGACGAGCCGGGAAAATATCCACATATTGGGGGACTCTCCAAATTCGGCAAGGTAAGTGAAAGCGAGTTAAAGTGGGGAGGGTGCGGTGTTAATTTATGTGCTGTTTTGAAAGAACGCAAGAAAAACATGTAGATGGATATTTATATTCATACACATGTAGTAAAGTATATATTTTTAATTTCACGGAAGAATAACGAAATATAATCAAATTAAAGAGTTGCTTATGTTAAGTAATATTTCCTTAAATCTTATTATAATATATAAGAAAAAAACAATAGAAATGTATGAAAAAGTTTATGCAAGTTTTTATTTAATTTTTTTCTGTTCACAGTTTTTCTTTTGATAATAGTAGGGCAGAGACAGTGCCTATTAAGAGCGGACAAATACATAAATATTTCTCTCAATCTGTTTAAAATACACGAAAACTTCAGAAAATATCCAAAGCACTTAAAAAAATAGCCATATATATATATATCTAATATAGACTCTTCCAACAAAGCTATCTTGTGTTCATAACAATAAACAATTTCAAAGACCAATTAGAAGATAAGAGAAAATAATTTTGCTAGAAGAGTCAATAAAAACGTCTCACTATAAACCTAAAGGAAAGCCATTCATTAAATAAAGTAAGTACGACCCCATTCGATATTCTTCTGGAAAATTTTGGTGCAATTTTATTTTATTATATAAACGATATTTACCGGAAAACCGAAGTTCTACTTGTAGGTCCTTCTACGATGTGGTAGAAGAAAGTAGAATCAAAATTTTTATTGTCTTCTAAAATTTATTGTCTTAAAAAATTTAAATAAAAAAATTTTAAATTTTGCTAAGAAATTATTTAGTGCTTGGACTAATCCTTACATACATAAGTAACTCAGTCAAAGAACGTGAGTGAAATATTGAGAAGGTTGGGTTTGGCACTGCTAGAAATTTCTCCATACATAAAATCATATATTCTAGTCGACAAAAAGTTGTTAAGTTACTTTATGAGATCTATTGAGTGGATAAGACCTCGATTTGCCCTATTTCAGCGGCTATCTTGTCTAATCCCGAGGTCAGATTGACGAGTTGAAGCGACCACGCCGATATTTATTTAATCCAGTTTTATTCATACTTGTAGTATCGAGTAGAGGTCGATTGCGGTAAAAACAACCCAGAGGTATGACAGAGCTTCCAAGATAGCTGTGTTTATAATATTTCAGGTATATCTTAAAAGGATTCTGACCCCAATCTAAATAAATAGTCCTTCTAGCTATAGTCTAAATAATATGTTCAGAGATTGTAGCGTTGTCATAGATAAAAATTTATGCCAAAGATGAATCATGAAGATTCGTTTATATATTACATATACTGACGTTTCCTTCCGGGTGTTCACAGTATAAACATAAGAAAACGATATATGGGTGAATTCTTGTTGATTCAAGTAAGTAATAATATTGATGAAACATAAATAACGACAAGAAAAAAATGTTTACGTTGGCTGCTCCGAAGCTATAAATACCCTTCACAGGTAGCATAAAGGAGCATAAAAAGATCTTTATCTTCATTTAGGTCGGTCAGTTTGTATGACAGTTGTATGTTATAGTGTTCCGATCTGAAAAATTTCTTAGGATATTGCATAATTAAATTAGGCAATAAGCCTTGTTAAATTTTTTGAATATATCTCGTCAAATGAAAAGGCTTTCCAAAGAAGCGCTTGATTCCGATCGCTCAGTTTATATGACAGCTATATGCTATAGTGGTCTGATAATGGCGGTTCCGAAAAATGAGCAGCGTCTTGGTAAGAAAAGGACGTGTGCAATATTTCTGGTCGATATCTCAAAAACTGAAAGATTAGTTCGCATATATACAGACGGACAGACAGAAGGAAATGGCTAAGCCGATTCAGCTCGTCACGTTGATCAATTATTTATGTACGAGTATATACTGTGTAGGGTCTCCGACGTTTTCTTTTGGGTGTGACAAACTTCATGCCAATATTAAAATACCCTGTTCAGGGTACAAAAATAGTATATTTTAAGTTTACTTGGAAAAGGCAAATTATAGCAAATAAATTTAACTTCATTAAGTCAATTCTAGATACAAATTTTCCCTCATTAAAATTTATTCCACTCTCGTTACTATTTATTTCTTATTAGATTTGAGAATCACATTATTCATTGAATACTCTGTATGTATATACATACACACCCACCATTAATTTTCTCCACTATCTGCTCGCTCTTACACAGTTTGTAGCAGCGTGTTTTTTCCACTTCACCAAACCAATTTTTGTCGCTGCAGAATTTTTTTTCTCTATATTAATGTTTGTTTTTTTTTTTCTTTTTTGTTTTGGACTGCTGATTTATATTTTCGCTTACATCTCTCGTCTCTTTTCATATTTTTCTTCTACTCGTTGCTGCAATTTAGTTGGTGGTGCATGAAATGAATCGACTGGGCATGATTGTCGACCTGTCCCACGTCTCGGTGCCCACAATGTTGGACGCGTTGAGCACTTCGAAGGCGCCTGTGATATTCTCGCATTCCTCCGCGCATGCCATATGCAACAGTTCGCGTAATGTGCCAGATCATGTCCTGCAGAAAATTGTAAGTTTTTGCCATTCTTGTATTTTCGCCATTTAACACAAGTTTTTACATGTCGCTTTTTTCTAGTTTTATACCTCATATATCTTACTCTTGTTTTTGTTTTTCGCAATTTTCACTACTTTTACTAGTTTGGCATTTCATTTTCATGCCATTGCATTTGAATTCATTTTGCGAGCAAGTTACGAGCAATGCGCCAGTATAACCACTCACCGGTGGGTTCTTCTCAATTGACCCGCAGAGGGAAAATATTTTGCAGCCGCACACACTTATCTAAATATTAATATACTTTTACGAGATGCGCGAAATTACGAGTGTGGCTTGAAAACTTACTAAGTTTTTCAAGTAAAAAATGTATATATTCCGTATATCTTAAGTTATTTTAGGGTCCATAATGTAAAACATTTGTCTAAAAACATATAACACCTTTTGTATGACCGAAATGTGACCGTACTGTGCCGCCGAGACGTCGAGACTTCTTGCGGATAATTTTCTACGTTTTAGAGATTTCACAATTTTTCATGATGTTTGTCTAAGTGTTTTGGATTTATGGAGTTTATCTTTACTTAATTTAGAAAATTAAGTTATTTTAACGCTTTAAAGCGCCTATATCCACCATGTACCTCTGTAATTAACTTGGATCAGTTTTCCACAGATTTCGTTTTTTGAAGAACTTAAACTTGAGGTACACCCGGCTTTTTCATCGAATTCGAACATTTTCCCTCGAACTGATCGAAAAATTGGTGTCGGTTATTAAATATTAAATTGGTGTCATTAACCAGCAGAAGCACTTTGATTTTGCTTTTCCTTGATCTTTAGTGATTTTTAGTAGTCTCAAGTTAGGTGTAATACTACAAAAGACACAAAAATGTATCCCTATCTACAAGTATATAGAACCAAGAAAATAATTGTTCGAATTTAATCAAAAAAAAATAATAATAATAGTAATGGAATGGAACGGAATTGAGGTGAATAGGAAGAAGTTTCGAACAACAGAACAGTTAGAACATTTATGTCTTTTAACCATTCTCAGGTACCACCTACTGATAATAACTTCGAAAATCTTAAAATACAATAAGAGATCACTCTCTTCGACACGTGATTCTTTGTGTTGTTGTTATTGGATTATTATCCAAATATATTTTGGAAATCCCTGCTGCTCTTGATCAGATGTTTATAAATCAGTGCTTGTTCTCAACGCATAGACCCGGCTGTCAAACTACACACATTAATTTGCGTTACATATGTTGTCGAAGAACTGATGTTGACAGTACGCACTAAGACGGCATAGGTACATATATTCTGCGAACGTTTTCGAACTTCGTTTTCGGCTATGAAAAAAAGCGATAGAATGAAGAGAACGACGAGCCCTACGACAACAGGTACATATATTATACATATTTGCGACGTAACTATCGACCAGTATAAACATGTCGTATACCGAATTCCTAGCTAGCTAGTAGTGATAGTAGCAGAGCAATCAAGTAAAGGTCAGGTGTGGAAAAAACTGGGTTAAATTGGTTAACAGCATTTACACCGACAATCAAAATCTAAGACGTCTCTGGGGATAATCAAAAAGTAAAAGTTCGCAAGAGAGTCGAGTCTACATATGTAACCGAAACGGATCAGGATTTTACAGCGCAGCAAAAAAAGATAAAAACGTTCCATATCCGTTTTGGGTGGGTTGAGTATGTATGTTTGACAAGTCTCCTGAGTGTCCTTTTCTCTTGGAATCTAAAGTATTCAAGCTTCAACTAATTAAACTAATCAAATCAAATGAACATACATTCATCTTACAAGCCCAACCTCTCATAAATTATTGCAGTGCTAAAAATATGCATAAAATTTGCATTCAACGTGCCAAAGCGGTAAATACAAAAACTCAATGATCTAACGAACTGCTCTTGTACTCTTTTATAATATAAGCACACACCATACAAACAGGTGTTGGTACATTTTTATGGTATAAAAAACAGTAAAATATTATATTCATGCAACAAACTTCACAGCGGAATGTGAACAACGCGCAACTATACTCTCGAGTGTCCTCTTTCCCAATCAATTGGTTAGTTAGTTGACTGCTTGGCTGATGCTTGGTGAGCGTAAAGCATTGTAGGTGCATTGGTGGCATGCAACGCATACACCGCATACATACACCTCCGTGAACGTATAGTACGCTAAATGTTGGACGCTGCCTCAGAGGAGTATTTTAAAAAAATTCGTAGCGCTTAAATTTTGTGAAGGACACACTTAACCAGCGCAGACGATTTGATCTGCCCTTATCTCTTTTTGCTCTGCGTAAATACACAAACACACACATACGAAGATATTCGTGTATGTATATGCGTGTGTTTGGCTCGCAAAATGACTCTGTTGTGCAATGGAATGCTCGCAAGTACTGGAAACTGCAGCAGGCTGCATTTTTTCAACACACATACACATACACATGCACAACCATATAAACTACTGCTTTAAATATATATGTATTTACATATTATATAGGTACATATATGTATGCATTTCGGTGGCATTATTTGTGTATATGTATATATTTGGTTTGCTTGGCATCCTTGCAGGCAGTCAACGGCGGTCTGGTGATGGTCGCATTCTATCCACATTTTCTTAGCTGCTCGAGTCAGGCGACACTCGAGGATGTTATTGGTATGTAAATATGAGTATCTATCTTATATGCTAAGCCACACACATACACACACACACATATATATATAAATTTATGCATATTTGTAGCAGATACGCAATAAAATACCAAAGTCAATATCAAATTAATATTCAGTAAAATGGAAAATCGATGCAACTGTTGTTATATGACAACAAAAGCGTATATGCATACACATACACACACACACGAACCTCCAACAAATGACATTGCTGCCAAACGGCAATAGGATGCGAAGGCATGCCAAAAAATCAACAACAAAAAAAAACACTAAATGAAAAATTACAAAAATGCTGTATCGCATTAAAACGACAAGCAGTGGGAGTACAAAAACGACAACAACAAAAATAAATTGTGTACAAAACCTCAGTCTATTGGCTATGTTAAATTTTAATAAGCAACAAATTGTTGGGCATGTCACATAAATTGTTTTACACAACAGACACACATACACACAAAAAACGCACACATGCATACAGAGAAGAAAGCATGCAATCAAGCACATAAATTTTATTACGGTTTTATTACGAGAATTAGCTAATTTGGTTAGTGAATCAGTCCATTTAATGGTTTTAATCATTTCAGTATTTGCCTAAATTAAGCAAATATTAAATACGCATACTATTTATGTGCGTAATTTACCGTAAATAAATATGAAATTTATTTTTAACTAACGGCCAGTAGTAGCGCTGTTATGTTTAAACAAATATTTATTTGCATTAATCATAAATTTCAGCAGCGCACATTCAAATGCATTATTTTTAATTTCCATAAAATTTATGCAAAAACAAAGTGTGACAATTTTGTTATGACAATAAAATAGCTTAAGTTTAGTTTTAGTATTTAAAATTGGCATACCAGATAGGTATTCGTGTTAATTCACTATTAAACTTGTATCAAGTATAATGCAGCACAACGTAGCGTATGAGTAACCCAAGAAAGATTCAACGAAAAGCGACTTCAGCTAATAGAGTGTTTCAATATATCTATGAAAAACGGATATTCTACTAAAATAATGCTTGATTAAAATATTTTTTTTTTGAAAATGAGTGAATTTAAAAATCAACAATATTCCACACAAAATTGTAAGTTAGATGACACCAGCGTTGCAAATAATGCATTAAAAAATAATTTAATTACAAGTTTTTAAATCCCAAATACAGTATTACCCTGCCGCGGTAAAGCTATTGCATGGAATTTTTTATCAACTTATGCAATTATAATTATTTATTTATTTTTTATGCAGTATATTTTTTGCTTTGATATTAATTCAAGTTACACTTTTTGAGCGTGGTGACCGATTAGAAGACAATTTTTTATTGAATAAATAAGAAGTTAATATTGTTTAAAATATTTTTATTATCTTACAATACAGGTAGGTTATTCAGAAATTTTCATCATTGAAACTATAGATTTATGGTAACTAAAATAAGAAACATAAGTGTAAGATTCAATATTCTCTAAATATCTGGAAAAACCGCGTCAATAGTGGTCCCATATTTTGTTGTGAATTCTTGTGGATAATTATTCATTTTAAAACTCTATTTCCGAAAGAAAAGTTGTCAACTGCTCTGATATTTTATCAGCTAAGTTGATGTTGAAATCGCCACTCACGATAAGTGGAAATTTATTACCATTTATAATCCGATTGAAATACCTAATTTCAATTGTATTGTTCAAGTCAAACAAGATACTGTTCCAAAAGGTTGGGTAGCTATTTACCAAAATAATAATAGTGTTTCTAATATTATGACTTCGAATATTAAATAATTTATTTTTTATTGATTAAATTTTTATTAAATCTCATATTTTTATTTGCCATTAAAAAAATTTTATCCTAAATATTTTTATTTTTGAATCACCCTGTTGCCTCTTCAATTGATTTGTTCCGCTTGAGATATGCGAAAATACGCCTAATAGTATGCAAACATTTTGCGCATACCTTGTAATCGTGTTAGGTTTATTTCTGTTACGGAATTTCTTGCCGCCACGCTCAAAGCCCGCTATAGAAGCTTTGCAATAGCTTAAAAAAATGTTGCCGGACAACCCGGGTTAAAAATTAAAAAGAAAAATTTTAACCAACAGCGGGATTAAAAACCAAAATTTATTAATTATTAAAAAAAGGATTAAAAATTAAAATTTTGGTTTTTAATCCCAACGTCAGGATTAGAAATTGAAAATCTAACTTTTAAAAAATTAAAATTAAAATATGAAAATCTAATTTTTAATCTTAACATCGGGATTGAAAAATAAAAATTAAATTTTTAATCTATAATTTTTTAATTAAATAATTTGCAACCCTGGGGGAGCCCTGCACCGGCTGGAGCCACTCTACTTTTAAGCTATAGTATTGGGTCTATAACTACGAGTATATTCATGCAGTTTACAACCGTTGTTTCAATATTTCGAACATGCCACTGTCCTTGTGCGTCTTCTTCAACTTCTTCGTATACAACAATAATTCTCTTCAATAAAATAAATATTGAACGCTACAAAACGAAGTCGTTTGTGCATCGGTTTGTAGGTGGCGATGAAACATGAACCCATTTCGACAACCTTTAATGCAAAAAATCAGAATCCAACCTGCAAGATCAACGACAAAGAATTTGCGAATAATATTCCATCAAGACAACGTTTGGTCTTATGTTGCAAGACCGTTTAAAAGCTTTTTGAAAAAAAAGCGGCTGGGAAATATTGCCACACCCGCCTTATAGTGCGATCTTGCTCCATCTGACCACTATTTGTTCCGGTCAATGCAAAACGCATCCTCACTGGAATACGGTTCACATAAGAAAAGGTTATCACAAATTGGCTTTATTCAAGCTTGGACGCCAAGCCGGCGCTTCTATAGAAATGCACAAATTGCCAGAACGATGTGAAAATGTTATATCTTCAGCTGTATTTTATATTACTGTTTACATGAAGTTTAAAATTTTTTCATTTTTGATATAAATTTAGTAAGTTAAATATAATGTATGTTTAATATTGGTATACACTGCGTATACGTATTCACTGTAGACTTAATTTCAAACAGTTTGAGGCTGGCTGCCTGTAATTATCTTTTTGCTTTTCTATTTTTTCGTTTCGATTTCAGTGCATATAAATCACATAAGAGAAGTTGCCGGTGTGGATCATGTCGGCATTGGTGCGGGTTATGATGGTGTCAACCTGTAAGTGTTTTAATGTCTTTATGCTACTACTGACTGTGACAGTTGTAAATATCAAGGAATAACATTAAAATAAGTATGACATTTAAGATAAGCTATATAAATTGAAACAAATATATAAATATATTTGGTTTTAGCTTGACTATCATTTAGTAAGCTGCAGTTTCATCAATTACCGCTACACACAAATCGTTAGTGAAATTAAATGACTGACCTAATGAGGATTAATTAATTTAATAGACTATTAAACCATTCAGGTTTTTAACAAGCGTTATATTGACACCATATACGTATTTGAATTGGTTCAAATGTGTTCCATTAAATGCGATTAGTCACACCGCGATTACCATTTTTTTTTACTGGGACTATTGCACTTTTTCATAGACCAATATATTCTTAATAGCTTATCTACCGTAAGATGATTTCACAGAAGTTATTTACCCTTCATTATAATCAGAATTCGCAAAATTAGTATTACGATTACTTAGGTAATTTAACAAATTTTTTTCGATTATAGTAATTGTAATTTTGAAAATATATTTAGATAGTAATGGAAATTATAATTACCATTACAGTTGTTGTGCGTTAAATTTTGGGTATACGCCCAGTTGCAAAAATTAAAAAATATTAATTACTCATAATTAGTGAGTTTGTAATCATAATTTTTAAATATACGATTATGATTACAGTTTTTGTAATTCTTAATTTGTTTTTGGGATTGCAACAAAGCTCGCGCATTTCATTAATATTGTCACACAATAATCGTAATACTTTCGTTATAGTTTCCTGAATTTTAATTACAGTAATCGTTTTAAGTAATCAAAATGTTAATGCAAACTTAAATACCCTGTTTTGCGTGTAGGAGGAGTTTCTTCACACACATTGAAAAAGATTATAGCATATTTCTTCTAGAACGCTCTGATTTTACCGGACATAATATATTGTCTTATACATGACCTCTTATAACTTTTAACAGCATAGATTGCGGAGTTCAAGTCTTCATCTTATCTCATATTTTAATCTATTGGTATCATTATAGAGCTCGTCATGAAGTCTTTCCTATATTCACAGATCATATTTTAAGGAGGCTAACCTAAAATAAATTAGGTATATATTTTTATACCCTGAACAGGGTATGTTAAGTATGCGATCAAGTTTATAACACCCAGAAGTGAACGTCGGATACTCTATTAAATATGTACAAGTATATACTTGTATATAAAAGATCAGCGAAACGGGCTAAGTGGATTTAACCATGTTCATTTGTCTGTCTTTATATATACGATCTAGTCCCTCAGTTTTTGAGATATCGATCTAAAATTTTGCATACGTCGAAATCTTCTCCAATAACCTACTTATTTGATGGAATCCTCCATATCGGACTAGTATATCATATAGTTACCATAAAAACTGACCGTTCAAACTTAACTAATTATATCGAAAACTTTTTTATTTGACAAGGTATCTTCACGAAATTTTTCATAGATTTTTGTCAAGGGTATCGCTTCAATCTTTAAAGAAATTATTCAGATCGGACAACTATAGCATATAGCTGCCATACAAATTGAACGATAAAAATTATCTTCTTGTCCGAAAAATTTTTATTTAATGACATATCTCCACGAAAGTTGACATCGAGTTGTCTAAGCTAATGGTAAAATCTCCTTTAATATAGTTTCGAACTCTGCCTTACAAACTGTCCGATCAAAATTTGTATGGAAACTTTTTTGGTTGTGAAAAATGTTATAGCTTCCGAAGATAACTTGTTTTCTTGTTTTCAATGCTCTCACGTCCATCTTCAAGTTTAACAACTGTTATCCTCTTATTCAAACAGTGGTCGTGTGAGTTTCAGAAGCCGCAATTGTAACTGCCTATTTGTTTGGAAAAGCCATCAGATTTTTTTAGTTAGCCCAGCGGCAATATTAGTCTGTGATTATTAAAGTACGAATATGTTTTCGACAACTCACAGTAATGCAATATTAAATTAATAATATTTTTGTTGTATGTTTTTTATTAACATGTTGATCTCACATATTATAAATATTATTTTCTATTCAAAAACAAAAAATAAAAATAAAAATTTTATATTAAAGCGACAATTCATTATTTAAGTCACTTACTTAATCCTTTGGTATGTATCTATAGCGTTCCCAAAGGACTTGAAGACGTTTCGAAGTATCCACATCTATTTGCAACACTGCTAGAGTCTGATAAATGGACCGAGGCGGATATAGCGAAAGTGGCTGGGAAGAATTTAATACGCGTATTCAAAGAAGTTGAAGCGGTAAGTAAACAGATGAAGGATGCTAAAACAGAAATAAGTCCACCTGTGCCGACTACACCATGCAATCGAACAGTTAATTAATACCAAACTATGCACATTAGTAATTTAAAGTAAATACAAGCAGCAACAAAAACTTAGAAAAGCAAAAATTAAAATAAAAACTTAGAAAAACAGAAGGAAAAACAAAATTTTAGCAAAAAAAAACTAAGAAAAAGACGAAAACACAAACTTAGAAAGCCAATATTTAACCGATGAGTAATTAATCAAGTTAACGGTAAAAGCGAAAAAGCAATGCTGCTACTCAAAACAAATCCAAGAAAAATAAATTAAATAACTCTCACTATTATTTAAGGGTATTCAGTATGTTTACATGTAGTATGTATGTGTGTAGTTCTGAGTACTTCGTTAATTATGGCAAAACAAGTGGAAAACTAATAACGGTGCAGATGTAAAATTTATTGCAAAAAACAGTTATCACTATGCATAGCACAAGAACAAAAAAAACATAAAACTCCGTATAAAAAAACTAAAAATAAAAATAGCAATAAAAAAAAAGTTAAAGAAAAAATAAGCGCAAGCACTAAATTGAAGTAGAATAATTGGTTGGTAGAAGCAGCAAGCAAGAAAGTCATTTAGTTCCGGCTCTGAAAACTGAAAGATTTCACTTTGTCGTGCATATTTCCGTTGCAGCAGCGCAAACGGTACTTTTACCTTGCACTGCTGTAATGGTTTCTTGTTGTCGTTGTTATTACTTTACCTATTTTTGTTTTTTTTGTTTTTTCAATTCATTATTAAATATGCAAACAGGAAGAAGAAATGTAGGGAGCAAAGCATAAAACCAAAGTAAAATGTAAGCTGAGATAAAATGTTTTGTTTACGTTTTTTATTTTACTTTTGCTGCCAAGTTTCTTCTCTCCACTGTTTTTTTTTCTTTCTTGTTCTTGTTTTTGCTCATCAATTACAATTTGTAGCTGGAAAAAAGTGCCATGGAGAAGGACTTGGGCAAATGGCATTGACGAGCATTACACATATACTACTTGCATATGTCTGTATGTATGTATGTATGTGTATGCTGGCAAGGGTCAGACATGTTGAAGTTGTTGAGGTTTAAGGAAGAAAGTTTGACCCTTTTTTCCACGCCAACACACATACACACAGAAGCAAGCATAATTCTATACAGGGTGTCAAGAAGTAATGATCAAATTTCATATTTATAGCATGCTATCGCAGTGCAATCTGTGTGTTGGTATAGATGAGCTTTCAGTGCGCTATGTTATTAAAATTTAGGGAGTATTATAGGAAAGAAAGCGAAATCCATAAAAAAAATGTTACCAAATTATTAGCTTATTATTTTCACAACGATTCGCCGTTCTTTTGTTGTTGTTATAGCGGTAGCAAACATTTCCCAAATCATTTTGAAAAATACTGCCAACAGCACTTGGCCCTGAACAAATTTAAAGATCTTTCACTTTGTGTGTGTGATTGATTTTGGATGCTCTACGGTAACTTCATTATTTCATAATGTCTTTTACAAACCAGAAACAGTCCTAACAGTCTGCATCTACTAAATACTTACAGCCGCTATAACCCTAAAGCTCGACAGTTTAAGTTCGTTAAGCTGAAGTTTAAGTTCGTTAAGTTCGTTAGAAAAACAGAAGTCTTTCAGGACAAAACGAATTTCGATACAATAGTAATCTACACTAGTTACTGCTATATAAATAGTATAATCCTGAGGTAAAAATCCATTTTGCCAGAAAACACTTCAATCTTACTATTCGCTTAAATTTGTCTATATATTAGCTCGTAGGTCGAAACAGGCCACGTATGCAGCGTCTACCGAGAAATATGACGTAATTTTGACATCTCGTGGCGGTCATGTATGTTAACGAATTGGTGTCAAATTTTGGCAGCGTGTTCAATAAGACTTGCCATTTCATTAGGTCATGTTTTTTTTTTTATTATTACAACGCTTCGAAATTGTACAAGATTATTATGCCAATTCGCATTATTCGGTGGCTACTGTAAGAGCTCTTCGCGGAAAACAGGGTCTTCCCAGATGAGGTCCATTTCTATGTTAAATCAAAGGTTTGCGCAAATCAACTAGTAATGGCGAGGAGTTAAAAGACAACATTTAACGCACTATAGCTGAAATGCTGCACCGGGTAATTGAAAATTGTCGTAAACGGTGGCGATATGCAAACGGAGCAGTGCGGTAATTCGCCGATATTTTGTTCAAAGCATAAACTGCGTAAAATTATTTTTATAACAAAAAAAGGAGAACTCTTTTTGACCAAATTTGAATGTTTTTTTTTCAACATCTCGTCATTCTTGTTGGTAGATCCTATACGTTTAGAAACCAAAAACGCTATTTTTTTTTAGTCAGACGAAAAATAATCTTGATCGGAAATTGGATTTTATCTTAGGTCTAATTTTTCTTGATCCACTTGAGTTTTTAGCAACGAGGTCCAGGACTGCTTTATAGCGTAGTTCAATAAACTAATGCAAATGAGCTCGTTTTTTGAATACTGCACTCAAATTGAATGGCCTTTTACTGAAGCGAAGATAGCAAATGCTAGTTTCTTATTTCAATTTAAATCCTGTGCGACTAAAATAAGTTTTCTTTTAGTTTCAACAAAAGGGTTTCTAAAAACTTGTGCCGTATTCTCTCGTGTCAGCCTGTATTACTTGTATATACGTGCTTTCGAGGCATTTTGAATACATAATAAAAATAAATCTTCAACTAAGATTTCTTCAAAACAAACAGCAAACAAAGTGAAGAAATCGAATATGTTTTTGTTGTAGAGATTTTAAAGTGTTAGAAAAGTAAACTCACGGTAAAGTGATTGGAACTTCGTGGCTAGTTGTGCGCACACACTTATTAAACTTCGCGCACTACTAATGAATATAATTTTATATGCCAGAAGAGACGACCATAACCACTTATGTGCCGAAAGAAATATATATTTTTTTCAATTTTTACGTGGAATTGTGCTGAGGTAACAGTAAATACCAGCAAGTGCTGATAGATCATTTTTGAGTGATTTGCATTAACAGTTAACGAGATAAAGAGGTATGCATCTCAAACTCGAGTCTTAATCCAGCGATCTAAAACAAGTTTTCTCAGATAGTTCAAAATAAGTCACTGCTGCTTTATGTGAATGAAAAACTTAGGAACTGAAAGCAATAAGCATAGATTTTCAAAAACGATGACAGCAATACAAGTAGATTTCATAACCTCAAGCGCTTCAACATGCAGTGTTCTTGTGATATTGGTCTTAGTTAATCGGAGAAAGAGTAGATAATATATTAACGCCACAAAATTATGCAGAAGATGAGTTAAAATTTGAGACTTTATTTTCGAATTTATCAATTTGCTCAACAGCTTGAAGTTGAGTGCTGATGCCGATGTGAATAAATTAAATACATTTTCATTTGCTTCCAAAATTAATAACCAAATACTAATAAACTCTCAACTAACTTTCATCAAGCATAAAATCAACACATACTCGTATATATGTAAATCTTAAAAGTTGGTTCAAAAATGAACAAAATAATAATTAGCAAACTAAAACGGATGAACAAGTTAACTAATTACACCATAGACTATAGCAATTGCTCTACATACCAGGATTTCAAAACTAAATATATTTGCTAAATAGCGCAGATTAAATTTCTAATTGCACCCATAAAAATGTTCTGGAAACTAACTTGTGAGTTAATTTTAACATTTTTTTAGAAAACTAACTGCATATTTTTGCATTATGTTATACTAATTATGGATATAAATTTCGATGGTGCTGGCAAGTCTGTATTAGGCAATAAGTATAGCCAACCTGTTATGCACACTATCATAGAGTAATGCAAATATAAATGTTTTCAAAAATATGTTTAATATTTAAAATATATAATCCAAATACAAAATACAAAAGTATATAATCTGTAAACTATCTACAAACAATTATGAAATATATGCATTTAATATAATATACTTCGCAATACACTAAAAAAAATGTCTTTACATTCGTAGTTACGTGGGTGGGTAGGTTGCTTTGAAAAAACAAAAAAAAAATAAAAATTATAATAAAATTTTATAAAACTGTAAAAATGCAAACTTAAATTTGCATACAAGTTTCAAATAAAAATTATATTTTGAAATTATTATTTTAATAAAAAGTATCAGCTGCACATAAAAGTAAAAGAAATCAGTGAAGTAACTTTACACGGCTTAGTATCTGTAACGATTCGACATATTTAAAAATCTTTGTGATTTTTTGAAATGAATGAAATAATATTGTTACTGTCGTCGATGGAAATCCATATCCATTGTTATTGGCTCATTTGTTTGCACTTAAATCCGTCACATTCTTGGCTTGTTGATCCTAACAAGTATCTCACTTGAACAGCTTGGAACGCCGGTACGTACCTAAAACTCCTATGTCGCCTTAAATGCGCAAAAAAATTACTAGAAACATTCTTAATGTATAAAAGTTTATTTGATTGGGTTCAGACTAACCTATTTTTTTCGAGGCTGTAATAGCGAACAGCACGCTTTATTTCCACTTCGCAAGTTGGCGAAGATTGTGAAGAAGTGCAGATTTCTTCTTTCTAGGCAGAATAGTTTTGCTAGAGTTTTCTGCGTTAAAAGATATAAATATGGATATGAGAATAAAGTGATATCCGGCAGATCTTTCTACAAGGTAACCTATTTATCAGTTAATACTTAAGTTTCGACTAGCAACCTGATTGCTTTAGTAGAAGTTTTGGTTTCTTTATTATCAGATTTAAAATTATGTTAGCTGTTCAAATAAAGCAATAATTTCGGTAGCAAATCCAATATTGTACAAAACATTATATCTAAAGACAAAATGAAAATTATATACATATAAGTCTGCCTAGCGAAAGCTGCTCGTGAAAGTCTGTCGCGGTTCGGAGATGGTAGCTGCAAAAACAAAGCAGAAGAAAACATCACAAAGCACCACAAAACTGAGCAGAAACTTAATATAAGCAGAACTTAAAAGAGGAGAAGCCTGAAAAAATAACTCGCTGAGGAGTAATATGTGGAGAATTTACATAATTTTATAATAAAAAATATTTGATAATGTTAAATTTTATGAATATGTCTTATAGATATATAAGTATATATAGAATAAGAAAACTGGCAAATGCTAAGAAATAGTAAGAACTTATGTTAAACAAATCTAGACAAAAAATCATAACCAAATGTACATACATATGTATCTATATGTAATATATGTATATGAATATGTATGTATGTATGTACATAAGTAGATACATAAATCATTACCAATTCAATCAAATGCGCACATCTTGATGTTATATATCAAAATAAAAAATAATCATAATAATAAATGAAATTAAACGATTTATTACCATCACACACAGTCGAATAAAGCGTCAGCTATAATCATAATCTTGTTTCGGTTCTTATCTTCTATTTCACTGAAGGTACGCGATCGCATGGAGCAGAAAAAAGTTCCGCCTGTCGATCAAACTATACCACCCGAGGATATAATGGGAAGATCATACTGCCGTTACCAAGGACCACGAACGTGATTACCTTACTAAGCAAAAGTGTTAGAGCCAAAGCCATACGTAGTTGAAGAACGAGAGAGTGACATAGAGAGAATGAGCGAATGGATGTGAGAATAACGCGCCACAACAAAACAACTTAAACAAGTAATCACTAATTAAATTAACTACATGTGTTGGCAACAAATTGTAAAACCGAACGAATTTCATAAATTCAATGTACTCGTATTTCTTTCGCTGCGCACACAAACTTACAAAAAACAAAGCAAAAAAAAAAAAAATGTAAAAGAAAATTGTACGAATGTTAAATTACGAATTAAATATCTACGAAGTATTAATACGTTTACGAATAAAAATATAAACAGCAGTAAACTACACAAAAAGCAAAAACAAACATAAATAACGGTGAGCACAAATTACAAATTGTAGTTATGGTATATAATAAGCGTGTAAGTATATGTTTGTGTAAAGCAAAAAAACAAAATTAATTTTAATAAAAATATTTTTCAATAAATCTTTATCAATGTAATGTTTAAAAAATTTATAAATAAGAAAATGATGCGTAAATATGTATACTACTTGTAAGTAAATTACTTTAAATACATATACATATACATATGTATGTACATGTACATATATTATATATATAAACATATATCTACTACTTAAATAGCTTTTGTCAAACAGATTAAATGCGAAAATTTTGCGAATTTTTAATTGGTAGCTCATAATTTTGTTAGTAATGGTAATGATAATGAATTACATAACGGTGCAGACGTATTTCTTGCAATTAGAATAAATTACAGCATACAAATGTAAATATGTTTGGAAATGAAAGAGTCCTCTTATTAAACTCGGTTAAACGTTGTCTCTTTTGTTTTAATTTTGACAGACTTGGAGATGACCGGATTAAGTATACTGTGCTATATAAGTTGGAAATGTGTTTTTTTTTTTTGGTTTAATAATTTATATATATATATAATATACCGATTTTCAAGTAACTCGTTTGGAGATGAGAGGGCGAAATCGACTATTCGAGATCTTCAACGGTTGACCAAAGATAATTGAGTGAGTTTTAAATATTTGGTACATGTAAACATGATAAATTAATATATTTCATACAAATATTGACTAATAGTATTTTTTGCCACTTTGTTAAGATACATTTACCTCTTACTACAAGTCAAAATCGATAAAAAAATATGTTTATCGCTAACTGGAAAACATCTCTAGTTTAGACTTTGTACACACACTTCTCGAGCTAATAAGCATTAATTAACAATTGCCGCTTACTACAAGTCAAAATCAATTAAAATCAATAAAAATTATATTTATCGTTGATTGGAAAACATCTATATTTCAGTGGAAAGAGACCTTAAAGTCCCACTTCTCGAGCTAATAAACATTAATTAACATTTGCCGCTTGCTACAAGTCAAAATCGATTAAAATCGATAATTATGATGTTACCTAATAGATTTTAAAGGCGTATATATAATTAAAAAAAAAAAAAAACACGTGTCAGAAAAGTTTGAACTGCCGTTCGCTATGATCAGCAGAAAATATCTTTAATATTTTTGAGTTTTAATGCTCTACCGCTGCTAAGTTTTTTATAATTGTCGAATAAAAATCGGAGCATAGGATCGATCGATATGATTTCCAATGATTTACACTATGACTTTGTTTCTAATTTTTAAAAATGTATTTGCTAAAATAAATTCAACGTTTTTTATAAATTTTGGTAAACAATTTATTAATATGTTCATCGATTATTTATTTATCGTGAATTTTAACTTAATAATCGTAATTATATTGTAGTAATCCATAATTTATTTGTTTAATAAACTTCAACGTAATATTTCACGACTTTTCATTTGTCGATAATTTTGACTTAAGAATCTTAATTATTGTTATCGATAATTCATTTGCTTAGTAAATTTTAACTTAATTATTAAATATTATGGTACAACTTTTTAATAAATCTTGTTATAACGTTTCATTTATCGACAATTTTGACTTATTCATCGTAATTACAGTAAACGATAATTTATAACTTTAATTAAAATAATTAGTATATTTTTCAACGGTTATCGTTATATACCGAAAATTGTCATAATATTTTAGTTGTATCCATAACTGATAAATAAAAGCAAATATTGAATCATAATTTTTACAGGAATATTAATAAGAATTAAGCGATAAATTTTGCATATTAAAATCAGATACTGAAAGATATATTTTTTACAACCGGATATTTAGGCGAATAAATTTACTGCTAAATAATCCAAGTATTTACCAGTTCGGCTGAGTAATCTTCATATTACATTTTCAACCACTTGAAAAATAGGTTTATAAAAAAAAATGACTGGTATGAAAAATTTTGCCAGCAGAGAGTTTCTCGATTGCCCGATGTTTTGGAAAAAAATACCAAACTTTATAGAAGAACATGTGAGATATTTTCATTTAGGATTTCACGGAAAATTTGGTTAAATTAAAAAAAAAAAACAGAAACTAGAAGTTTATCGATAAATAATAATTTGCATAAAACTGCTGTAAAATATGTTTTATATGTTTTATTTATAATCGATTAAGGTCAAATCTCAAGAGAAGTTTATACGTGATAAAAGATATTTCAATAACTTTTGTCTTGGTATCGATAAAACTGCCTCCATAAAACGATTAAAATGTTATCGATACAAATAAATGTCAATAAATGAATTATAGCAGGATTTTTGTTATCAAAATCATTAATTGTGATTATTCATTTCTACTTCAACTTCCATAGTCTCAAAGTGCTTTCTTCTAATGTTCCAACCATACACATTTTTATGCATGTATGTAAATATGTCACATTTGTAACTTTAACGTTATAAAAAACCTAACATTACATACATATAACATATATATATATGTATTTATGTTTAAGCGTCTGCATGTTAAACTTTCACCTCTGCGTCAATTCATTTTTATTGATTTTCCCAATTATTTTTGGTTCATAATGAAACCAACTGCCATTATGTGGTGACATATGTGGTTATTTTTTATGCACATATGTATATACTGTAGCATATATAAATATGTATGAATATATATACATTAAGGTGGATTTACCGATTTATAATGATCTTTTTTCATTGAGTTATAAAATTCAAAATAAAAAAGAAGTTTGTCTTCAAGCGTTAATATCTTTTAAGCGCTTAATTTTTTCAAAAAAGTCGTACAAGATTTTCTTGTAGAGCACTTAATTTCCTACAAAATCTATGAAACGAGTTTTTTTCGCAAATAGTTGAAAGCGAGATTTGAATTTTTCTATCTGATAATAAAAAAAAGAGAGAAAACTGTAAGACGGAGGACGTGCCTGTTACTGCTAAGAGCTCATACTTCGACAGACTTTCTTAGAGGTGTCTAAGGACCTATTTTTCGGAGTACCAAGCGAAAAAAAGTGTTCGTTTTTTGACCCACCCTAATATGTACATATGTATATACCTATGTATTGTATATGTTCCATATATATATACCTATGTATATATATACTAAAAATGTTCCGACATGTATCATTAATAAACGGTGTCATAAATTACGGTATTTTATTATTATTGTTTTTGTTATTGTTGTTTTCTGTTTGACAAATTATACCGCTTTCACGTCTTCAATTATGGCGCTCAACTAAACTGAATACACTAAATTTACTGGAACTAAATTCAACCACAAATGCAAGCAGATTAAGCGCGCCTAAGCGTCTGTATATATAGTGCTATATATATATATATGGATTATTGGTAAATTAGCATTTAGGTGTAATTAGTGATTAATAAAATAGAAAATTTAATTTATCAGAAAAATCGTATATACATACATACATACATATGTCTATGTATACATAAATCAAAAGTGATAAATGTGTATTATATAGTAATAAATAGTTATTGAATGTACAATAAATACTTATGTACAGTTAAGCTCAAATAGCTAATAAATATTTTCTCGAGGCCACAATTACATATACAAAACTGTATATATTATATATATGAATAGTGATTAGATATTAAATAAATATGTAAGTGCTAGGTGTTATAGCCATGTCAGTGCATATGTACGTACACACATATATATAAATATATGTAAAAAGGATTACAGGACTACTTAAGCGAAAGCTAAATATGTACTTACTTTAATATTTAATTAAATAATTAACAAATAAGCTGCAGTTAAATACATAAACATAAATGGGCACACAAACAACAAACAACTGTTTACCATCATACATATGTACATACCGCAGACACATTAATTATACCGTTAAAATTAATCATAACATTTAGCAGGCAATAAGCTTGCGATTACTTTAGGACTTTACACACAGTTTTGTTAAAAATAGTTCTGAATGTTGGCAGGACCATTTGATAACCTTAAGCCCCTTGCACTGAAAAATATTCAAATATTTTACTTATAACGTTTGCCAAATTTCTTTGTCATTATGTGATGATGAATGATTTCCAATGATTTCCTCTGTCCATAAAGCACATCAAACACTGACTTTTTGAGGATGTAATGGCTTGTGAATTACATCAGTACTTCAAATGCGATAATTTTGTTTATTAACATATCCTTTACACTAAAAGTGAGTTTCACCATTCGGCCATTCGATGCCTTTGATGCTCGTTCGTCTTCTTCTTGCACAAGTTCGATTCTGTAAGTCCACAAACCAAGATCCTTCCGCAAAATCTTCGATTAAGTGGATGGACACAGTTTTAATTGTCAGAAATAATATACGCTGTCAGATGCTTACGCGATCGACGAAAAAGTCGTATACGAAATCGAAAATCAAAAAACAAGTTTTTTGTCAAAGGCCGATCTTTAAAACTTTTGCTGCTGTATGAATATTAGTTAAATTATGATAGGATATAGTATTATGGGACAAATAAGATCAAATATATTCGATTCTCTTTTATTTCAATCTGGATAACGATTTGGAGTTGAAAGGTTGGTTAGATATCAACCTAAATTGGATTTGAAAACTTTAATTACCTAAATTATATTGCTTCCATCTTCATCAAATTTTATAAATATTTCCTGTAACTGTTAAAAAAAGACACTGAGTCTCATATATATGTACACCAGTCATTTATAATGGTAAGACTGAATTACAGTTTTCAGAATTACTTTAAAACTAAATACAAATCATGATACACTAAAGAAGAAATATGACCGGGATTGGTCCATTTAAACTGCGCGCGCAAACCGATAAAAAATAGTGTTTCTAGATTAGTACAGCCTTTTTTATGTTTGTGCGAAGTTCGTTCTCCATCGTATGTTATTGAACATGTGTTTGGCAGCTTTTTGTTTACAACGCGAAAGGGTTGTTTAGCAACTTTTACCATGAACAAACAAATTTAACAACCAGCTTGCTAGAAACTTTGTGTTTCTAAGGAAATCACGGTTGAAAATGTTAAGAAGTGTTTTAGGGAGTCTACTATATCACGAACACAAGTATTTAAGTGTTACAAAGCATTTAGTGATGATTGTGAAATCACCGAAGACATGCCTCATGCGAATCGTCCATTAACTTTTGTGATTGACGATGACTTCGAAAAAATGCAAAAAAACAATGCTTGAAAATCGTGATATTGAAATCAGAGTGTTAGCCAAAGATCAGAACATCTCTTAAGGTTCAACTCAACCATTTTGGTTTGATGTTTAGACTTACTTTTCTTTTTCTTTCAACATAATTTGTTTTAGTCCAATATTTATTTGCTTTCAATATTTGCAACATAAATGCAATTTTTATTCATTCCATCTCCGCTTGTTGGTTCACTATTCGCTGCAAAGTGTTTTATTCTTTTTCCTTCCCCTTCTATTAGCAACCCGTTCACGTTCTAGCTCTCTCTGTGCTAATTTGCATATCAAACGGTTGAATGATATTGGACAGTTGGTGACATACCACAATAAAACTGTTTATTTTGTCAGCAGATCAAAGCATAGAAAATTGCATACTATTTATGCTCATATGACTCGTTTAAATAGCCACATCTGTACACGTGTACTCACATACAGATTAGAGTGTATCTCTGGAATAGAATTGGAATAATACTGGTTATACTGTAGAATTTATTTATTTATATCGTTTATTATTTTTCAATTTTTACATTTGAGTTGGTCTCGAAAGATTTACACAACGCCATCAAGAATTGTGAAATGTTGAGCAATTTTTTGTTTATTTGCCTAAAACTATTTCTATTTCGGTTTGCTCTTTTTGTACTGCATTGCTGCTCTTGATGTACTCAAATGTGCGTCCGTTTCGGTAGTGTGTTTGTAACAATTGATTGAATTTCACCAAAACTGAGCGCAGTGCAGTCAGGTGGATGCCCAAAAAATTAAAAAAAAAAATTGTATTTTTTTTATAAATAACTCGAGTTATTGATCAAAATTGGTGACTTCAAATAAAAATTCATAACTCCATATTCAGGAGTTTTGGTATTCCTCCTCGATTTTTCGAAATAACCGTCAATTTTAGATAACAACGTACTCAGAAACGAGGCTTTTCACGAGTTTAGCTGTAAGAATTTTTCGAAAGCTAGTAGGCTATCCCAAATTACAATGATATAGTCAATATTTTAATAAAGCTAACTTTAAATTTCATAAATGGTTCAGATATAATAAAGTTTATAATCACTTTGCCTTGTTATAACACTACGTTACGTTACTTCTCTGCTCGCTTTGCTTGACGAAACCTAATTATCTAGCTGAATTCGGTGCTATCCACATAGCAATTGTCTGTTCGATTCACCACTTTTCAAATGCTAACAAATCAGATACAATAAATGTGTTACAAGCGAAGGCCTGTATACTGAAAAAGTCTAAATCTAACAAAGAGGAAAGTTTTGAGAATAATCCGGTTTCGGTAGTTGTTTTTAAACCCTGGACCGAGTATATTAAGTTTGGCACGAAGTTTGTAACACCCAGAAGGCGTCGTCGGAGACCCTATTAAGTATATATATAAAATATCAGTCTAACGAGCTGATCTGATTTAGTAAAGTCCGTCTGTCTGTATGTACTCGAACTAATCCCTCAGCTTTTGAGGTATCGATCGGAAATTTCGCACATATCCTTTTCTCCCCAAGAAGCTGCTCATTTGTCGGAATGGTCGGTATCGGACCAATATAGCATATAGCAATACAAACTGCTCGATTGGAATCTAGTGCTTGTATGGAAAAATTTTCATTTGACGAGGAATCTTCACGAAGTTTGGCATGGATTATTGTTTAAAGCGACGGTGTAATCTCCAAAGAAATTGTTCAGATCGAGTGAGATTTTGTAGAGTGAGTAATGGAGTGCGTGCCGATTTTCTTGTATGTTTTTATGTGCAATTTTTGGCCGATCGGATATATTCCATGCCACAAGCTCTGATCGAGTATTTGCGGTTTAGAAATCTACTTATTACATATTTCAATTGGGGAAGCAAATTGGTTTATGTCTACAGATCGGCAGTTGCAAAATAATTGTAAGTTTTCCTTTTGCTAATCTTAATAAATAGCTTGCCAGTCAAATACCCTTATATTTATTTATTATTATTATTTAAAGATGCATATATTTATTATTCAGATTTTAGTGAGATGTTCATCAACTATAGAATTTCTTTCTTTTTATTTAATTAATAATGTAAATAACTTGGACTGTGCATGTGTATACATACATATAGACATCACGTTTGTACCAGACCCTATAGGGAATTTAATCAATCAATATATATGTCAATATACAATATATATACATATAAATTTGAATAAAAAATATATGCATCTAAATATATATTATATAACAGTGGATCCGATATTTTATTCAACAAAAATAAGTAATAATAATAGCTTCCCCTGAATCATCAATCCTTAAAAAGTGGCGAAACGAACAAACAGTTGGCGTAAATGAAACGGACTGGCCTAATCAAATTGAGATATCATAGAAATTACTCATATTAAAAGAAAAAAATTAACTTCGGTTGCACCGAAGAAAGAATACCCTTCACAAATAAAAAAGTTTTCTATACAAGAACATGATTTTGATGGCAGCTATATGCTACAGTGGTCCAATATCGGCGGTTTCGACAAATGAGCAGCTTTTTTGGAAGAAAAGGACTGCAAATCAATTTCTTTAAAACTAAGGGGTACAGCGTCTACCAATATTGATGACGTGATTTTGACAGCTCGAGGCGGCCATGTTTGATTACGAATTTGTGTCAAATTTTATCACTGTGCTTAGTAATGTTTGCCATTTCATCAGGTGACGTTTCACTTTGGTACAACATTTGGATATTGTCCAAGATTATTATGCGAATTCGCGTTCTCCGAAAAATTCACATTCACCAAAATTCACATTCATCAGAAAACGCATTTGCATCCCCAAAAATTGACCGTTTAGGCCGGATTGTGGTATGCATCATCGGGTCATTCCTTCGAAATTAGGCAGGAAATGCCGTTACCATCAATAGCGAGCATTATAGCACGATGATTTTTCTCCGGAATTTGATGAAATCGACGCCGACGATTTCTATTTCCAACAAGACGGTGCGCCATTTCATTTTTCACGTCTATACATGAACACATAGCGTGCAAGGTTTGGCAAAGGTTACAGCTTCATTTATAAATTCGTATTCTTTATCGACATTTTGCATTTCCTACGGGGTCATATAGCATCCCATTTAGATTTTCGTTAACTCTTATTTGAATTGAATTTCAACAAATTATTTATGTTCGCAATTGTAATACAAGTAGTTATTCATTGCATCTGGCAGCATGACAGACCATCTGTTTACACAAACGTACACGCCTACATGCTTCTTTCTATGTATAGGTATTAAAGTGTATTCCATCAGTTGTTTGTGCAACCGACATCACCTAATTCCCGCCAAATTCTACTTGTATATAAATGTGTATGTATGTATTAACATATTCTTTTAGGTTATACATTAGAATTTGAGAATTCACAAAAACAAAAATATTCATAAAAAATCTCTAAAAATAAATCAATCTAAATAGTATTAAGAGGAATTATTTCAAATATGAAAAGCCGGCAAAGAGAATAAAATAAACAAGAAAGTATTAGAAAATTCGAAATATATCTTAGTTAAATATTTAATATTTTTCAGTACTAAGCGAGTAAATAAATAAATATTGTACATATAAACCTACTAAATATAATATAAATGAGCGTACATATGTACACACACACACAAAGAAACAGAAACAGAAACAGAAAAACAAAATTACATAGTGTGTACTGTTATACAAATTTATCGAAATACACAGTGTAATTGTATGAGAAATAAAATATTTATGACAAAGTTTGAAATAAACGAAAACGCTGCTGACCTTTTTTTAAAGTAAATACGTTTCATTTCAAGCACCAAATGCGGAAAAGTTGTTAATAAATGATATATGGTAATGTGGTAATGATATTGTGCCGGAAATCGTCAGTAAGTAAGTATACGAGAATCTATGTATGTTAGGACTTAAGTATGTACGTATGCATTGCACATACATACTGTACGTAAGTATGTATGTGTCAGTGTACAAGTATGTATATATGATACTGTAAGATAATAAATATGTAAGTAAGGCTAAATAAATACGTAAGCATGTAAGTCGCTTTATATGCACCTCAGCCTGAAAATATGTAAGTAAACAAGTAAGTATGTCGTATACCATATACTTGTATGTATAGTGGTAAGTAAATATGTAAGTACTTAGAGCGGCCATAAGTTCTGTTACAAGTTGAGGCCGTTATAAAAGTTAAACTATAATGATATTTTTTTAGTAAATTAATTTTATTTTACTAAGGCATATATTAAATAAGCGATAATAAAAATGTATTCGAAATCTTTTGGTTTCACATAAGCCGTTTTAAGATTCGATCATTTATCAATAGCCCTCTCAGAATAGAAATTGGTATTCACGACGCTGCTCGACCGACCCAATGATTTTTTGAGACTCTCCAAATAGCTGCGGGTATTTGACAGGCCATGTTCTTCGATTTTGATCAAATACTGTAGACCAATGGATTCAAATATGGATTTCCAGACGGCTAATCAGCTGCAGTTATAAAGCCAGAAATATTGCTTTTAGCCACTGCTGGGCGTATTTTGCCTTGTGTGCTGGAGCAGAACTGTGTTGGAAGAACCAATGCTCAACATCAAAGAGAGTATAGCTTAACGGCTTTACAACGCCTTGTAAAACATACTGCTCGGGCACTTTTGTTCCAATTTTAACCCCATTTTCACAGAAGTGAAGAGGTGTAATGCGCTTACAGGAGACTTCCCACCAAAGCGTTACAGCAGCTGGTTGGTGACCACGTTTTATCCTTGGTATAACATTTTCTGCAGCTTTGGACATTTTTGCGTAGAATTTGTGCTTTTGTTTATTAAAAACTTCTTCAACAATGAAATGCGTGTCTCTAAAGTAGTCGCTTGCATCTCTTGAGCTTTATAAGGCTTCAAGCATATTGTCAGACCAGAGTTGACCGACGTTAGGCTGTCATATGGAAATCATCTCGAATAATTCTTTACATCGACCTGGTCTATATATACATTTTTCTTGACATATTGTGTTTTCTAAGCAGATTTCTGTGTTTGCGTTCGTGAACACTTTTTATAGCTGAATTTGTTCGAACCACGCGAGAACGGTCGATTCTCTCGTTGCCATCAAGTGTAGACTTTTTGGAAAAATAATCAATGGTACGGCAAACAAACTTTGACGAACTATTAATTTTTTTGAGAAGCTCATAACCTTATAAACTTCACTTGCGCCTTTTCCACACAACGCAATAACGGCAGTATGGTTTTCTTTAGCTCACCACCCCATGCCAACTCTGAACTACATACAAATACAAAAAACCAAAAAAATTAACTTCGGTTTTACCTAAACTACTATATCCTTTACAAATTTAAAATATTCCTTACAAGAACTAGATTTTGATGGGCCAGTTTGAATGGCAGCTATATGCTATGGTGATCCGATATCGGCGTTTCCGACAACTGAGCAGCTTTTTCGAGAAAAGGACATGTGCAAACTTTCAGAACGATATCTCAAAAACTGAGACCTCCCTCTCCACGGTATAATAACGACCCTCTTTTCTGCGAATTTGTCCTCGCTGCATGCATTGTAAACGTTGTAACAGAATTTATGGCAAGACATAGTATGTAAGTAACTTAGTGTGTAAGTTTTTACATATGTGGCCATGTGTGCCGCCAACTGAATTTCTTATGAAAGCATATAACTAAGTTGGAGCGCGTGTGCAAACAAATTTCCATATTCTCACACACATACGCATACACACACAGAAATGATACATAGTTGAAATGCACAAGTACGGACGTGTTTCGTGAGTGTCCCAACCTATGGAACATAAACAAAGTTTTACAAAAGTGTTTAAAGTCCGCAAGTGCGCGAAAAAACAGACTGCAAACGCAACTAGCAAACCGGCACTAAATTGAATCGACAGAAAAGTCGTACAAGCGGTAAGTGCTATTTCTATTTCAAAATATTTATTTATTGTCGGGCAAAGGTCCGCACAAAAGGGAATACGCAAAGAGCGCTCTCTCAGCTGCTCATATTGTCGTCTCCCTTTTTTAATTCTTTTTACACCCTCTTGAAATCCACAATCCACATTGAGAGAAATTCCTGAGGCCTGATCCTGAGGAATCTCTGCTCAACACCAGCGCTAGAGGATTTCTGTTTATGTGGCTAAAAAATGTCAACTAAAGCAAAAACAGCAAATCCCATAGCAGACACCAAGGAGAAAAGTGAAATGGCTGGAATTAGTCCATTTACACGGAGCAGCAAAACTGCCCGATCACCCGAGCGACGGGTGATAACGCCCAGCGTACAATCGGTCAACACTGCAACGCCAACTGCGCTTGATATGACCCATTGCAATAAACCAACGCGAACAGCTGATAATTTGATCGTAGTCAATCTGCCATCAACACAAAGCGACACTAAAACTGACCCCATCATAAACATGAGCGAAGGAGAGAACGTGCTCACTGCATTGGGAGTGCTCATAGATGAACTAATTGCTCTCACACATGGCCAAAAACAAAGACATGTGAACCAGAATATGAAAAATATCATTGATAGGATATCGCAGCTACAAAAACATGCACTAGCTGAATTCAAAGAGTCAACCACCCACTCAATCATTCAGCCGAAAAGAGGCCGCACTATGCACACTGATGAACCAATAGAAGATGAGCACACGCAGCAACAAATTAAGCGAACATGCACAAACTCGCCAAAAACTCGCGCAAATACAAATTTGATTGGTCAAGCTAAGCGATCAATAATAACAAATGACCGCGCTATACCTCACACTTTTGAAGGCGCTGTAAATCCACCATCAAAGAGACCTAAGGAAACCCAACAAAATAAAGGTAATAACCCAAATGACCCTCAAAGTCCAAAAACACTGCCGTGGAATATTGTAGCTAGAAAAGCTAAACCGCAAACCGCAAAACCCCCAAAAACAAAACCCCAGGCGATATTAATTTCTAAGAATGGAAATCTTACTTATGCCGAAATTCTTAGGAAAATTAAGTCCGATTCTACTCTCAGCGAATTCGAAAAGAAAGTTACCCGAATTCGTAAAACACAAGGCGGTGAAATGCTGCTGCAACTAAGTGGTTCAGCAATGTCAGCCGACTCGCAGGAAACAATGAGGAAATGCCTTGGTGACCAAGCAAATATAAAAGTTCTGACCCAGGAGACACTTATAGAGTGTAAAGACTTGGATGAAATTACAACCAAGGAAGAAGTACTTTATGCTCTACAGAGAGAGTTGGGTAACAACGATCTGACGATTTCAGCTATAAAGAGCCTAAGAAAGTCCTACAGAGACACTCAAACAGCGCTTATTAAACTCCCAGATGAGAATGCCAGGAAACTACTTCAATCCAAGAAATTAAAAGTAGGGTGGGTAATATGCCGTGTCAGAGAATATAGGCAGCCACAACGGTGCTACAGATGCCTCGATTATGGCCACACAGCGAAAAGCTGCGAAAACGAGGACAGGTCTAAACTATGTAGAAGATGTGGTGAGGGTGAACACCAGGCTACGGACTGTGCCAAGAAGCCAAAATGCATGCTTTGCTTGAAAGCTGGCTCCAGTGAAACTGATCACTTTACTGGGAGCGTCAGATGCCCGGTATACAAGAAAGCGGCTCAAACTCAAAAATTAATATGAGGTGTTTACAACTTAACCTAAACCACTGTCAAGCAGCACATGACTTATTAAAACAGTCAGTGCTTGAGAAGCAAATCGATGTGGCCTTACTCAGTGAACCCTATAAAACCGTTGAAGGTGCCAACTGGACGTGCGATTCGAGGAATAAAGCGGCGATATGGAAATGCAACCCTAACTCTCCACAGCTGGAAAACCCTTACCCTTCAAATGGCTTTGTTCGCGCAACAATTAGTGATGTTAATATCTATAGTTGCTATTTGCCTCCCAGTATCAATGACGAAGAATTTAAGAACATCATCGACTGTCTAGTGACTGATGCCAGAAGTAAAACTAATCTAGTAATAGCCGGCGACTTTAATGCCTGGGCTATTGAATGGGGTTGCAAAAGAACTAATAGTAGGGGTAAAGCCTTACTAGAAGCCTTTGCTTCCCTTGACCTTGTGCTCTTAAACACCAACCAACCCACATTCAACAAAGATGGGCGGCAGTCGGTGATAGATCTGACTTTCGTCAAATCAAATCTTGTCCGTAGATCTAAATGGAAAATAAGTGATCATTATACCTTTAGCGATCACTATGCCATTATATTTGAAATAAATGTCGCACACATACGGCAGAATGTACCGACCCTAGTGAGATGTTCCTGGAGAACTAAAACGTTCGACCCTGACCTCTTTGAAGAGACCTTTAGGCCCACTGTGCTACAAGAGAACCCACTTTCGGCAAATAGTTCCGCCTCCATAATTATGACCCATCTTAAAAAAGCATGTGACGCATCAATGTCCAAACATACACGACGCAATCATCACCCTCCAGTATATTGGTGGAATGACACAATTGACAAACTGCGAAAAGCATGCCAGCAGGCAAGACGTTCATATCAAAGGTCACGTGGCACCCCTGACTATATACCCCTCCAAAGACTTTTCAAGGACAAGAGGAAGCTATTAAAGCAGTCCATTAAGAAAAGCAAACGAGAATGCTTTCTGAAACTCTGCGACGACGTTGAAGATAATGCTTGGGGGCTAGCATATAAGGTGGTAATGGCAAAACTCCGTTCTCGTGGGCAAATGCCGACCTCCCCCCCAATGCTGGAAAGAATAGTATCGGTACTTTTTCCAACCCGACCCCTGCATTCCCAAC